AAAGTGAACGATACAAAAATTTAACGAAACATTATAAATTTTGTTCGAGCGTCAGTTACACTCCGAATTATTTTCAAATAAATTACTGCGATTTTTACGATTTGCTCGAGCGTGCTGCGGTCATATTATAAATGGCCCCAGACGAGTGGTAGCCGCGGAAAAGGAATTTTAAACGCGCGCCGGCTACTAAACGTGAAGCATGAATTTTTTTAAATCGGCAACCAACTCCGCACGGCAAACGAAGCGATCCCGTGCGCCGTGGATTTTCTGGGATGCAGCCGTGTTTTCGCGTAAAGTTCGACTGGTTTCTGTTCACGGCTATTTCATTTCAGAGGGCCCGTTCCAAAGCGACGCGTTGCTCGTTCCGGAAGGCTGCCTCTTCGACCACCTCCACAATCAGACGAGATGCTGGGAATCTCACAGGTAAGGAAGGGAATTTCAACGAACACTAGAGGCAACGAGCCAACTATCGATTCAACGTGCAACCGTGTGTTCCGTCAAAAGTATACCATCGTGTTTTACAGTCAACCCCTTGCCGCACGATTTTCTTTGAGACTACGCTCGTTAGTTAACTGCGGGTCTCTACGCGAGTCCGAATTTCTGAGAACGTAATTAGAAATATAGAACTACGACAGAAAATTGTTCTCCCTAAAGAGTATTATAAAGAAATATAAGAAATATTATAAAAATACGGTGCTTACGTATTATACCGACCACCTTCGTTTGCTGACTGAAGGTAGCGCTGGTGAGTCGTTTAAGTTAGGTTTGGGGCAGTATTTATTTAATATTGTAATACATTATTAATATTTCATTATTATTATCGTTATTGTTACTGTTATTATTGATAGTTTATTACTTACAAACGAAGGTAGACCGGATAATACGTAAGGGAAAAAAGTACTTTGGATCTATTATATATCTTTTCGTATTGTGTGTTGAATGTTGCATTTTAAACACGCGATATTAACTATTTCATTAACCCTTTGAATACCACGGGGAATTTTCATGCATATTCTGGGAATACCAGACAATTTTAAACAAAGATGTATGATTATAAACAAAAATTTATATCTCGATCAATTTTGATTTAAAGTTCGTAAAATTCTAACATATTGCTAAAAACATGTTAGACCTGCTTTATTACTAACAAAATTAAAAAGAAACTTTTCACAAGTGCGTGAAGGAGCAATATATCGAAAGATAAATTCGACGGTTTCGAAAGATTAATAAAATTAAATTGAAATTGAAAAACTACTGTATTAAATCTTTCATTATAATTACGTTGCAAAAATACAAGAAAACTTGTTCGCCAATTTAACGGTCAGATAATTATAAGACACTGTAAAGTATAAGAACATTCTTCAAGTCGCTATCCCCTTTTTGGTGAAAGGTATTACGAGTACCCAAGAAGAGCAACCATACCATGAGATAGCTATATTTCACAAGCATCGCGACATCAATTCCCTCAGTTTGCGTTTGAGAACTTTCCGCCGATCGTCCGAGTCGCTTAATCGACTTTCTTGAATTGTTTCGTGTCGCGGAGAAATTAGTTTCCTCGTAAGAGGATTTGGCCTCCGTCTGCTCCCTTTGACACGGTCTAAGAGTCGCGATCAAAGGTGAACCTCCGTAAAGAACCCCATATACGTTGAAACTAGCAGCGATTCAGGCATCGCTATAAGTAACGAGTTTGAGTCTTTCAAGGTTTCATGACACAAGTTGCGCTCTAACAAGAAGTAGAAAAGTCTGAAAGGCTGAAATTAGCCTTGTAAAACGCTCGAATCTTCGAAGTTAAGGATAACCTTAAAGGCTGAGTCTTGAAGACTTGGAGTTCAATAAACCTAAAATCTTCGGAACTTCAAGGCTCGAACTAGAGAGTAAGCTTCGAAGCTTCGAAGTCTTTATCCCTGAAAACAGTCGAGGACTCGAGCCGTCTGTTACTATATTAACCCATTGCACTCGGAAGCTGTTCGCTAGAAACATTCGACACTTTCCGATGAAACATAGACGACACTACTTGAAACGAACTAATGAGAAAACATACGTCAATTAAGAAACAAAGCTGTTTTATATAAATATTTCACATATTGATGCATTATACAAAACTTAATATCATATATAACACTTCGTAATTTTGTTGTATCCAATGAAATGCTGACTGATAGTCATCTAGTGCAAAGGGTTAACACAGCGTCGAACATTTCAAAACTTACGAAGATCAGCAATGAACCAGCGCTATGTTCCAACGCTGTGATTACCAGGAAAACTGTCAAAAACTATGGTTGCCCTAATTTTTTTATCAGAGACTATAAATTTCAATCTTCAAAGCGTTTCAAATTTTCCTATGCTTCAACATCGCGGTGTGAACATGGCAGCAGACGGTTAGAGTCTTCGAGTTTAAATTTGTTGCTCGAGTTACGATTGCAGTTTTCAACGCTAGCTCAAACCCATCACTTGTAGCGAGGCCTGCACCGCCGCGTGTCTCAACGTGTATGGGGGACTTAAAGAACCCCGTGAATGTTTTCTTTCCAGATGGAACGCCACCGCCGCAGACACGTGCCGCGAGAGGAACATGAATCTGAGGAGCTTCGCGATGCTCCTGCCCTGCGGAATATCCCTGTTCTCTGGTGTTGAGTTCGTGTGCTGCCCGAAACACCTGAAAGGTACGTAACGTACGTATACTCTCATATCATCATTCCATTCGTTCGTTCAACTTCATTCATTTGTTCATTGATCGTGCGCAGGGTTGGGCAACGTGTAATCTGATTATATGTCACCGACGGTGATTCGTATGCAATAGACGACTCAACTAGATGTTACAGTTGTCAATTGCTGCTAATCTACAGTTTAAGTTAAAACGATTACAAGGTATTCTAAGTGACAATTCAGTGGCTCAGAATAATGTTATTAATGATATTCGTTTTTGTTGAGTATTGATACCAGTAATTTTAATGTTACTTTAATTTCCGTATTAGTTTAATTTTAATATCTGAATAATCCAAGAACATTTGACAAAAGTTCTTTTTTTGGAGAACTTGGAAATAGGAGTTAGATCATTATTATTTTAAACCATATAATTATAGGTCATAATTTGTTATTGGATAAAGATTTGTGTCATTAGTATTGATGTGTAATCAGATTACGTTTTGCCCAACTCTGGTCGTGTATGTGTGTACTCAATGATTGAATAAAGTGATGGAAATACCTCCTACGGTCGAACAATTATTTATTAACATTTTGACTGTTGTTAAAGTTGATTTTAACGTCACTTAAATACGGTTAGCACAGTTTTATATATAGTTTTAAAAATTTTCTTGGTAACGCATTGAATCTATACATTTAGAATCTCTATGGAACATCTTGACTTGTTAGTTTTACTGATGATTTTGATGAATGTTAATCTGGTGGTCATCGTATTAATACTGTATAGAATGATTGGTGATTAATACAGCTGAATTTTCCTGAGAATCAAATTGTAAATAACAAATTCCGAATAACGTTTAATGGAATATTATTGTTTCATTTAAATGAAGTAATCTAATTAATTATATCATTCTTCGCACAGAAACTCTTCAAGTATTCCACTTCATAATTACTAATTCCAGCTGCACAATACATGCCTTATAAACAATGTTTCCATTACTTCGTTCAACTCCTGTATGTACGTGTGTAGGTGTATTGGAGCGTATTGATTTGCCTGCACAAAGTGCATGAGTAAGAGCCGAACGGAAAGGAAGTCGCAGAACTGTTCCCAAATTACCGTTGTTTCGAGACTATTGATTATTGACGCTGGTCGTGAACGAAATTTAAGACGTAGGATAATTCTGTTTTTGAGAGTAGTGAACTTTGAATTTTCTTGACTGTGGCCATTGGAGACAGTAATTAATAGGCAATAACGTAGTTTAATATTTTACCTATGTGAAATATTCTTGAAAAATACTATTTCAATGCAATGTCACGGTCCAATATTTTTGCAAAAGGGTGTTAGGTTTGTGATGAATATTTAATTGAATATATCTTAATTAATATTAACAACACATTAATATATTGACATTAGAAATAAAGTAAAACCAATTTCCTTTTCAGCACAATTTATACTGTTTATTTTTATATGCAAAAGGTCCTCAATTTCAAAATTTTTTGTTTAAATCAATATGTACTAAGCTATAACAAAAAAAAAGCATGAAAGAAATTTCTTCGCCCCAAAATGAGAACACTAATATATACTAGCCAACAATAAAAAATAAATCTCTTGAATTTCAAATTACAGCGTTTCAATTGGAAATATGTAGCAATGTTACTACTACAGCAAATGATATTCTTTATTTAAACAACTATTTATAGCAACAATCAGTGTACAATACAACAAATTTTCAAGTTTTAAAGAAACAGTTTCTAGTAAATTTCTTACATCCATCAATACACGGAATTATGAACTCTATTAATCACAGTTATTATAAACTCAATTTTTCTGTACATCAAACGATTAGACCACTTTCACAATTATCGCGTCACGCTCGAGAAACTTAAATTCTTTTCCCCAATATTTACCGGTCTAATGATTCTTGCCGTTGGCAGCTAGACGGGTTATGAAGCGAACGACAGGAATTATTAGAGCGAAGTGTGTACAGTACTTTAAAGCCAGATCCACGCGAGTACTGGTGGCGGTAATGTCATTGGGGCTAACTTTGGGTCCAAACTTTGCTCCTGGTTGCCGGTAATGTTTACTTAGTTTCAAACTTCCACTCGCGCGATTGCTTGGTCAACATTTAATGTTTTATCTTTTTCTCGGCTGTACGTGTACAAAACTTCGTTGAAGACCCCCGACTAACTCCAGATAATCAAAACACGCGTGTAGATAGGAACACTCGGCCCTCAATATACGCGGTTTTGTTTTTTGCCGGTAAATTAGAACACTATTTACACGCTAGTTTTTGTGCGCGATCCTAACCCGTTTGTATCATTAACAAGTTAAATGCCATATCAGTCATCGATGAGTGACGCTTCTGAATTACTCGAAGACAATCGTAACATGCAAGATAATCGATGTCGAATCAAAATGTTTAATGCCGCAACTAAGTTGATAATAGTGTAATGCAATGATAACGCCAAATAGTGAATAATTGTTGCTACTTTTCTTTGCCAAAAAAGATAACTGTACAGAAAAATGGTCAAGATTTTTGTGGTGCTTAACGTGTTAAGCGGAATAATCCATACATATTGACTGTTGCTTATCACCAAGAGCGGAATATTCACACATAATTACTTTTAGTTGTCTATGTTACTCAGTTGTATGGATCAGATCAGATTAATTGCAGTGTAAAGCTTAAAAGACTTTCAGTTGAGCATCTTAGATTTAGAAAGTAAACTTCACATTCAGAGCAAAGATGCGAATGGTTTAACCCCTTGCCTTACAATATCCTGTTAGACTTTTAGTGAAGATTAATAATATCGTTCAATAAATATAAATGCCATTCAATCTTTCTGGGTACAAATGAAACATTATTTCTCTTGTTAGCAATTTATATGGTTTAAGATGAATCTAGACACAGAAAGATGATGAAATTTTTTGTTTTACTATTACATTATTGAGGATAAACAGTTCTAACAAGTGCAATTACGAAATTAAATCGTAGGGCATTGGGTGACCTGAATTTAGTAAAATAAAATGTACTTTTGTTTTATAAAATGTCGTTATTATTTCTTTCGTTTAGCTATATGAAATGAATATATATTTTTGAAACTTACATCAGCTTCTGTTTTCAATATTTTGTTTTCTCTTCTACCGGCAGACTCTATTTACTCGATTCTCATTCGCGTAAAAAGAATTCGCGGAACAGATGTTCACGTGAATCGAGGGTCAGGTGTACATATTTACAGCCTAACGTCTGTAAATCTGCGATGTAAGTACACGATCGGTGAAAATTTTGGGACCGATATTTAAAGAAAAACTTTCATTTCTTGTAAACAACGTTTATTGGAGAATGTTTGCGTATGATAAAGGAACATGGGCATACGCATTAGTCAAATGTAAAGATAAGAAGTTTTATACATTTAGTCCCAAAACTTAACCGACAGCGTATACTATCCAACAAATTGATTACGGTTCGACAAAGATTATTTTGGGAATACGTTCTGCGTCAGGCCTTCCTAAAGATAATTTCTTTCGTTATTTGTCTTACCAAGTAGATGGGAACAACTTATCCGTAGACGTGTCCCGGTGTGCATCCCATTTAACTCGTTCGGAACTCGTTTGAAAAGGTCGCGTTACGAACGCTCATCCGAGAATTATCGAGTTGATGCAAATGAAGCGACGTTTTTCTGCCGTTTGAAACTCATTAAAACTTCCAGTTTCCGCTAAGCCGATAAAAAATTGTTCTTGAAACGGACGCAAAAAATTGCAGCGGAGAATGTTCTAATTATAGATATAAAATTCCCGAGGAGCCGAACGGCTTTTAAAGTCCGATTGAGAAAACATTTCGTCCGCGGCCATTTCAGAAGCCATTCAATTAGACTGTGGACCGCTCGTTACCGCCATATTTTCGTTTTCCTTTCTTCCCTGAACACTGACTTCGCTAATTTGAAAATAATATATTGTTCACCGAGGAAAGCGTGAAACACTGTTCTCACGGATCTCGGTTTTTAAAGGATTTTTTTTAGCGTGCGATTATTTGCTAGATATGGGAATTGGAAACATTGTTTCCTTACCAATAATTGTTAATTCTTGAGTATTAGTTTCTTTGGTGTAAACGTAGACGTAGAACGAGCATGAGATTCTCTTTTCCCTAGTAAATTATTAACGATAATGTAGTTCCAGCTAGCGCAATTACGGGGGCAATCGTTTCCATTAAAAATTAAAGTCGTACCCTGCGTTGATAACATCCTGTATGCACTTCGCCATTCTGCAATATTCTAGTCCAGCGGAACAATAAAAAAAATGGTATAAATCCAACCTAATTCCCAGTTTATTAACACAATCGTGTGTTTTCGGTAAGTAAAACGGAATATTGCATATGTTTCCACTTGAAATCACAAATCTCATCGAAACTTTTGAATAATCAGTGAAATTTCTTGTTAATATTTATAATCGAACAAATTGGCCAAGAAATTCGGGTCGCCAAAATTCCGAAATCTACCATTCAACATCAGATTTTGTATAATGCGCAAAATACCAAAACAAAATAGTTTAAAACTAAAATATCAAAGTAAAAGCTGTCATCGATGTTCCATTAAAAAGCGATGAATATTCACGATCAAAAACATCAAATTATATACCAACGAACCAAACACTACGACATTAGACAACGACTTCAATTCCAGCGCCATTCAACCTCTGCCACATCCTCGCAAAGCTAAAACCCTTTCGAAATCCCCTATTCAATCAGTCAATCCAAAAAGGGAAGAAAAAAGAAGAAGAAAATAGCAACAATCGTAACAGACCGAAAAAAGAAGAATCGAATGCCAATCTAATAAACCGTTCAGAAAACTAGACCACCCGATCGAAAAACCCCGAGCCACCCCCCGCACAGTCAGAGCCGGCTATGTACATCCGAACGTCCGTAAATATCGCACGACGCGACAAAACGTTCTTTGTCATTTTGCCCGGGTGCTCATTTTAATCGACTCCTTTTCACGAGTTTCGAGTACATATACTTTCTCCTGC